AGCTGAGGACGCGCGCCGGCAGCTGCAACTTGGGCTCGACGAGCGACGGGAACTCGTGGCGGAAGGTCTGCTGCTGGGCGGGCACGAACTCGGGCGCCTGGGCGCGGAGCCCGTGCGACGCCGCCATGACGCAAAGCCGAAATTGCATCACCGCGGGCCAATGGCATCTGTTATTGCAACGCGAACGAGCCAATCACACGCCATTCTTTTTGGCCAATCCGAGCGCACGCCTGGGTGGAAACAAGAGCCAATAAGAACTCACCCTTGGTGTTGGGCTTGGAACTGCGCTCTGTCGAACCCTGGCGCCAATCAGAAGCGCCGATTTCGATCTTGTGGAACGGTCGCGGTCCGTCTCGATGCCGTTCGATGACCTCCGGCACGAGCGCGTCCAGACAGCGCTCGAGCAAATGAACGAGATCTCTATCTGTACACTGCAGCTCCACTTGGACCCGTACGACTATCTCCTATAGCCAAGATTCACCGGGACGCGGCCAAAGCAACCGCCAAAGCCAAGCGCGACGAGTCGTTCGAAGAGCGCATCGATGCGATCCTTGCAACGACAAAAGAGATTGCCGAGCGGCTGCAGCGAAAGCAGCACGACGACGACGACACTGCGCACGACGACGAGAGCGACGAGTTTTCCATCATGGACGATGACGCGCACGCGTCGGCGCTCTTCAAGCGGCAGCTCAGCCGCTTCCTCAAGCTGCCGCGCTCGCTGAGCCACCGCGAGATGGAAGAAGTACCGCCGTCTTATTGCATCCGAGGCGTCGCTCACATGTCGTCGCGCAGGTTACGCACTTGGTTCTCCACCAAGTCGGCAACACGCCCGACCACAGTCTTCTCATGCATGAGATTGGCACTCTCATCGACGAGCATGTCATTACACCGCGCGAGATGGACGACGAGCACGACCGTGAGGCCAAGCACAGGCCGTCGCTGGCCAAACGCCGTCAAGTACGCTCCGTGTTTCTGCTCTCATTGTGCAATGTACGATTAGAAAGAGCTGCCCAACCTCGACATACATCCGACGAGCGATATCGAAATGGTCGGCGCTTCGATACCTCGATATTCCTCACAGTTTACTAGACCCAGCGCATGCTGTTTGTATCGGCCAACCGACTCAAGTCGACGTCCATGCGCGTACATTGCTGCTTTGTTTTCGGGCCAAACGCATAGCAATTCGTGGGCTAGGGCGGCTTCAACGACGAGTCTTTTCTGCGCTCGCAAAAAGCAACGTTTTCGCTCTTCCCAAAACCGAGCGAGCGGACGCTGCTGCCCAAGCTCTCGTCGTGCAAGAGCCCGAAAATGACGGCGCTGGCCGAGGCCGAGCTCGCTGAGCAGCGCGCGCGGCAAGCCGAGCTCGAGTGGCGAGAGGCCGTACCTCGATTCCGCGCAAAACCCACGCTTCAACGCTGCGTAGGTCAAACAAGACTATATCATTTGGCTTCGCGCCAAAGCCGAAGCCGAGGCGCAAGCAAAGAAACAGCACCATCGCGATGCGTCGCAGCCTTCGAAGCGCAAGCAAAAGCCGCGATGGCTGCTCCTCTATGAAGACGCGCGGGCGCACCAAACCGTACTGCCGCCCAACTTGTAGTTTGTCTCGTCGACGCTCGCTAGAACGTTGAATGGAACGAGTGAAGCAGGACCAAGCTCGAACGACGACGTCGATGACGAGCGATTGGCATGACCATGGGCAACAGGGATCGCAGTCGGTCACATGCGATGGTCTGTCCACGATACTTCTCGGTGGACCTTGTCGGAGCACGCAGCGTCATCGTAGGAGAACAAAGACACGGTGTATACTGATAATGAGAAAAGACGACGACTAGGACATGCACGAGAGCTACTGCTGCGCGTGGTGTAGCCGCTCCTGCTGCTGCTGCTGCTGCTTGGCGTACCGCGTGGCAATGTAGGCGCACGACGGCTGCACCGAGAGGTTGCGCGCCGCGGCAAATCGAAAGGCTTCGTCGCAGAGGGCCTTGGCGACACCGTTGCCGCGCCCGTCGGGCAACACGTACGTCCGGCGAATGTCCATGACGTCGCCCTACACCACGCGAATGAGGCGATAGGCCAGTTGCAAGTCGCTGCGGTAGTACCTCGATGCTGTACTCGAGGAAGCCGAGCAGCGTCGACATGTGGCTCGTCGACGACTGCGCCTCGCACGTGAACTGATGCTTGTCCGGGATGTGCTGGACGCGGCGCGCCATGGCTCGTAGCGCGGCCTGCATGCTTCGTCGGCGTGGCGGGTTGCGGAGTGGCCGCCCACTTTCCCGTGTTGATGGATCATTCCGGATACGCCGTTTTAACTCGGTATCCGAATGGCAAGTTGAACGACAAAAAGGGGTTTCACGTGACTTACGACGCGCGAAAGGGTGCAGTTAAACGCATGAGATGCTGTGGTGCGTGGCTGGCTGACGCTGTGCTGCTGGGCACCTTTGCCAAGTGATGTCGATCCCTCACGTCGTCGGCGCTTCCGGCAGGTGATGGGACTGCGGTCCCTCTTCGTGATTTTGAAACGTAGTCTTAAGTACCGTATGGGGCAAGACGCGATCCCAGACGTGACAGGTCGGTGTCAGCTTGGCCTTGGCTGGGCGCGCAGAAGTGCGGACTTCATGTTGAAGAAGAAGCTTTGGCTGCTCTCGAGGGATCCGTGAACCAAGTTGAGAACTCGACAGGCCATTGTTCTCAGCTTACCAACATTCGGAAGTTCAACGCGCTTGGTTCAACAGGTTTAACGTGTTTAAACGTGCCGCACGGGGATTGGTGCGTTGACAAGGCGGCATGGCAGGGCGAGGGCTCCTGGATCGCGTCGTCGGCCGCCTACGTGGCGCGCTGCCGTCGCATGACGCCAAGGTACGCTTCGTGTTCGCCTAACCCACAGCCTCATATGCGTGTAGGCGTCGGCGGCGCTGCTCCAGGCGAAGGCCAAGGGCATGGCTGAGGCCGCAACAACCACGACAGCGTCGCGCTTGACGCAGCTCCAGGCACAGTCGTCTGCGCAGCTGCAGGAGACGCGCGCGCGCGTCGTGTCAAGTGCGCAAGCGCTCGCGATGTCGTCGAAAGAGAGGCTGCAAGACATGGGCGCCTCGGCCGTCGATGCTTCCAAGCACAAGCTGCAGGCCGTCGGCTCGGCGACCGCCAACGCCGCAACACACAAGTTCCAGGCCGTCCGAACGTCGGCTGCCAACGTCGCTAAAGAGACGCTGCAGCGAGCGGGTGGATCACTGACGAACGCATCCAAAAGCTTGGCGACGAGTGCCCAGGACCAAGCGACGAAGCTCTCCCATACCGCGCTGGGGGCCACCGCTGGCGCCGTCAAGGCCCAGGCCTCGACGCTACAGCGACACTTGGTCGAATCGATGGACCCGAGGGAGAAAGCGCGCAAGCTGCGAAACCAAGTGCTCTGGTTTGTCTTCTCTGCCATCTTTGTCTACGGCTTTGCGTCGGCAATCCCGCCAGCCATCTCCAAGTACCTCATTGAGAAGGAGCGCTTAGCTGCAGCACAGGCCTCGCGGGATGAAGACTACTAAACCTTCTTGCAACTGAAGTAAATTCGCAACAACCCTCGCGCCGACGCTTCACATCAACAATGACGACCCGATACCATAGAAATCCAAAGTCCATTTTGCTACTAAGTTGTTGTTTTTAGTCGTAGGGCATTGTCAATATCCATTCACGAGCAATTCATCAAGTAAGCGAGGAACCAAATATTCTGTCATTCTGATGCACCTACCGTCCAAATCGAAGGAAAATTCCCCCATCGTGGCCAGCGAAGGTATCGTGCATCATGGTAATCAGCTTTGTATTGTGCAAGCTGGGCGAGACATGGGCACAGGTGAGCCGGCGCAGGTAGCATCTGGAACCCGGTAGCAACTCTATCAAGGTACGGCTCTGAAATTCTCTGGCGTTGGGATCAGTGATCTGTAAAGCAGGAAGAGCAGGTCGGCCTCCCACCATATTTCGATTTTCGACGTTTCTGCTCTCTTTCCATCACAAATTTTGGGATGGGCAGAGTCTATTTTCCCATGGCCCGTCGATTGCTTCCGTTCGTTCTGCTCGCCTTTGCGTACACCGTGAGCTCCGTTGTTGGTGACGCGTGCTCGTCGACGATTCTTGTTCCCGTGCTGCTACCTGTCCTCAGCAAGCCCAACTATGCGAATTGCCAAAAGGACAGCGGTGTGCCTCTCTCGCTGACGGGAAACCTCCCGAGCCCGGCTAACCTCGCCATCATTGGCGCCACCAAGAGCTGCGTCGCCTTCTACGACGACGTGCAGGCCGCGGTCAACAGCGCCGGCGTCACGTGCACCGTGAATGGGCAGTCGGTCTCGAATTTTGTGGGCACTTCGATCACGACGTTCGTGACCAACCTCAACGCGTACATGAGTGCAACGACGGCACCGCCCGCCGGTTCCAAGCCTCTCAACAACTCGGCGTCTCTCGCGGCGCTCTCAAGTGTGACTCTGACGCTCCTCGCTGCCGCGCATCTAGTCTTGTAGACACAATTATCCTCAAATTGTTTAGCAAGTAAACAATTATTGGTGCAAAACGAAATAAGTCTACGACAAAGCCACCATAGTATAGCCATAAGAACTTATAGATCGGCGACCCCTGAAGCGGTCTGAGATGGTCGCACACACCTCCTGAAACCATTTAAAACCGACGCAGTTCCAAGCGCCAACAGTTGACCGAGGACCATGGTGGGCCTACTTCGCACCGCGTTCTTCAGTGCATGCACGCTCTCAGTGGTTGCGGGCGCCGCCTGCTCAGCGACCGACCTCGCTCTCCCGCTACTTCCCGTGCTCGCGAGCACCAACTATGCCAAATGCACGAACGAGAGCGGCGTCGCGATCTCTATCGCGGGCCCGACACCAAATGCAACGAGTCTCGCGGCCATCGCCAAGACGCCCAGCTGCGATGTGCTCTTCACGGACGTCCAGACAGCTGTCGCCAAGGCCAACCTCAACTGTACGGTCGGCAACGTCACCGTCTCGGCCTTCCTTGGCACGTCGCTCTCGTCGTTCTTGACCAACCTGGGGCTCTACCTCGGCAGCTCGACACCGGCGCCAACGACCAAGCCGTCGACAGCTACCGTTGTGGCGCTTCCGACCGTGACCATCGTCATCGCCACCGCGTTTGCGCTGTCTGTTTAAGTGCTAGCACTCTGAACACGACGATCTTTACATATACGCAGCAGGAGTGCATCGGTTGCAGGGTGGCGACGGCTTAGCCTTGCCTCCAGGGCCAGACAGGCTTCCCACCGAGACGAACTTGACTCAGCTCGACACCGAAACGACATACGTTGGGGCTCACCACATCAACATGCCCACACTAATGTTAGCTACGGCCAGCAGCTCATTTGAGGACGATTTCAACAGCTCGCTCGGCGGTGCGCAGTGCTTGCGGTGATCGACACTCACACAGAGCAATCCATGGTCGAACTGAGCGCTCTGTGTATGGTCTTGTATGAGTTGCATGCCACCGTACCATACTGAACCTCGTTGAGATATGATTTTGCTCTCAGAAACACCATGCAACATATAGACGATGTTGGCCTTATACAAGATCACTTTCTCGTGGTGACGTGTACGGTGACGGGTCGAATGGAGTCTCTACGATTCTAGTTCTAGTTGCTTGTTGGAAGCGTCGTGGACATGGCGCTTTGTCTCATTCGAGTGAGGAGCGAGAGCATCGCGGTTTGCTGCGCTGCCATTGCTTGGAGCTCTGTTGACAATGCGCGGTTCTGCTTCTCGACGGCCTCCAACTGTGCTGCCATATCGGTCATCTGCTTGGCGTGGCGCGTCGCTGCGTCGTCAATGTCTCTCTCGATCTCAAAGGCGGTTTCAATGGCTGCCAGAATCGTCTGCACCATCACTGCGAATGGCGTCTCGAGCGTCGTGTGCTGGTTGAGCTGAAAGAGAAGCATGCACTGGTCGTGGTCGTTCATCTGCGCCGGGTCGTCCGAGCGCCGCCACAACGTATGCATCTCGGCCGCGCTCCGCTTCAGCACCTTGGAGGCTTGTCGTTGGAGCGTCGGGAGGATCGCATGTCGGAACGGACGCTGGCTCTGGCGCGCGGTAGCAACAAGTGTTCGCAGCGCAGCACGCGTTGCCTCCAGAAGGCAGAGCTCGCCAGCGAACGCGACGGCGACGTTCATCTCAGTAAAGTGACTCACGTGCAAGAGCGCGTCTTCCACAAACTGAATCTGTGAGTCCACGACGTTCTCGAGCGCCTGCATTTGCTTGTGCCAGTCGGCGCGCGCCGTCGTGTGTCGAGCCAAGGCGTCCGCTTGCTCGGAGACGAGCCCGAGCTTCGACTTGGGGACGCGTGCGGTAAAGAGTTGTCGCAGTTGCAGCTTGCCGTCGCCATTAACGTCGTGCGTGAGGCGCAGCACGTCGGCTTCCGAGAGGTTCATGGTCATCTCGAGGCGAAGGATGCACCACGCGTACGTGATGAGCGCTTGCGCTTTGGCGTTTGCGAGGCATTTCTCCAGCGTGTGGCTGAACATGGCAATGAGGACGTTGGAGAGCACGAGGCCAAGGATGACCGAGTGCGCCATCATGAGAAGCGACGTGGATGTGTACATGATGGGCGCAAATGAATCTGCCGGGTCGTCAAACGCTTGGAGAGAGCTGAGCGGGACTTGGCCAAACAAGACAAAGAACGCCGTCGAGAACGACTGCCCCAGTGAGCTAAACGCCGGGTCGGACGTGAGCACGAAGAGCTGGTAGAAGATGAGCGTCAAGCCGCACTGAAAGACGCCAAAAAACACGAAAAAATTTGCAATGTCCCCAAACAGGTGCGTCATCATCGGGAGGAGGTAGCTTGCGGACGAGACGACCTCCAAAAATTGAAACGAGAGCACCCAGAGCACAGACGCGAGAAGTGCACCGATACCCGCTTGCACCTGGTTGGGCGCGTGCAGCCAGCCCAGTTTCAGGGGCAAAAACACACTGAGGATCGCAGTGTAGTTGACAAGCTGCACCACGTTGAGACTCGAGCCCCAGTACCCGGCCCGGTTGCCGCGCAGCTCGTAGATTTCGTTCACAACGAAATAGCCCACGGTGGCGCCGAGGGTTAGGTGGTTCATCGTGGAATACCACACAGGAAGATAAAGTGCATCGGCATACAAGAGCAGCGGCACGGCCAGTGCCAGTGTCACCACGCCCATGAGCATCACGAGGTCGCGTGGCAGCACTGCTTTGCCGTGCAGCCAGGACACGACCCGCGGACGTAGACATTGCGCGGCGACATAGCCAACGCCAACGAAAAGCGTGGTCACAACCCCGATCGTATACGTCGTCGGCGACGGCCGCGCGTCATCAAAGAGAATGGAAGATATTGTCATCGTCACCAAGAGCAAGAGATGCAACAGGAGGCGCTCGACATACATGCGCCGCCCGAAAAGCTCCCACTTGATCTCGAGGAGGCGGCGGAACACTGCGTGCTCGAGGCATATTTGCTGCGCCGCAAACGTCAGGTCGGCGTTCGCGAGCTTCAAGTGCAGAATCGCGTACAACGCGCTCTTGTGGGCGCATTTGCCATACACAATGTCCAACTAGACAATGTTCGCAACATGTTCTTCAAAAACGTATAACGTACATGCGAAAACGTGGCGTCGTCACGGTCCATCGTCACGCAGTCGTGCAAAAAACATTGGACTAGAGTCGTGCTGCACATAAGGGCCTTGCGGAACGGGCTCGGCTCAAAGGCGTCGTCGACGTGGAGGGTCGCCATGCGCGTCGCCCGTCGGAGCTGATGCCTTCGAGTCCCGGCGCATGGCGTCCTCCCGGTTATAGAGCGCCAAGACGTCATCGCCAAAAACGTGGTCGTTGCCCCAGAAAAATTCCTAGTTTTCTCGATGATGCGACATGTTTAGTAAAAAATACTACCTTTTGCAGCGGGAGGTCGTCAATGTGCGCAAGCAGTTGCTCCATCATGTACAGATTGTGTTGGTTCGCCGCGTGCTGAAGCGCCGACCAGCCAATCTAATGCGCCTAGTGTGAGTGCAACAGATCGACTAGCACGAGCGACCCACCGCATCGCACACGTAGACGTCGGCACCGTTGGCCAGAAGACACGTCGCGTGTTCACAGTGTCCGAGCTTGCTGGTGACGATGAGCGCCGTCTCCCCCTCCTACACGCATGCCAGCCTTTTGCGGTTGAATATGCGTACCGCGTTGGGTGCGTCACAGTCGACGTCGTCGCGCGCCAAGAGCTGATCGAGAACACTTATCGGCAGCGCGTGGCGCACCGCAAGATGCAGCGCGGATTCCTTGGTCTAAGAGGCACATTCATATAGCACCATCCCCGTCGGTGGTCCAACCCGTATGCAGCGTTCGGCTTCGGCAATGTTGAGAAGCCGGACCAAGTGGTAGGCGGGGTACCGGTGCTGCAGCGCCCAGTTGTCGTACACAAGTCGCTTGCTGACGCTTGCTTGCTTATACAGCTCGCTGGCGCGTGACTAGCCGCGCACCTTAGACGATACAGACCCACTGTGTTGCCAAGTACCGCAGAGTACGGCTCGTCGATGCCGTGGAACGCGCCAGCGCGCAGGAGGAGGCGCACGCCGTCTTCAAAGTTGCGGCTGGCGGCAATCGTGATGGCCAACGCTTTGGAAGTCTGCAGCTTCCAAGATGAGCGACAACGCGATCGATTGAATCGACGTACATCCCGCGTACGCACGTCGAGCTGGAGCTTCGTTTGCTTCAAGAGCGCTTGCAACACGCTTCCATTGCTGTTTTTACATACGTAGTGCAGCACCGTGCCACCCTACTCGAAGCATAGTCGACCAGAAGTGATGAGACGATATCGCACCACCGCATCGTGGAGATTGATCTCGTCATAGTCTGTCGAGGTCCGTAGACAGTTTTCAAGCTCGTCCCACTTGGCCGTCGACGCTAGTGTGGCGAACGGAACTGAGCTGGACCGCCCAGTGTCGGAACATGCACCGCCGCAAATCCGCGGCGGCTTGCCCCCGCGGGGGGCCTTGGCCTAGGGGCATCGCCATGATAGCGCAACTCGATGCAAAGAACACTACGCCAAGGGCAAACCGCAACGGCAATGTCGACTGGCATGACAACGCGTCGAGTGCTTGTATCAAGGCAATGTTGGACGCGCCGTCGCGGTTGGTTTGGCAGATCACGTCCTTCTCGAGGAGGTACTCGAGGGCACTGCGCCCTGTCTGCTGCATTTGAGTCGTCAAAAAGAAAAGAGGGCATGTAAACCTGGTCTTGCCGCTTGAGATCGCTGGCGCTCAAGTGCGGAAGCAATTGCGTGAGCACTTGGCCGTCGGTGCGCATGAGGTCGAGGGCTTCCACTGCGTACATCAAGACCGTGCGCCCGTCCTACGACTCGGTTGTCGGCGTTGGAAGGGCCAAGATTTGTTTACGTCATCGGTGGTGGCCAAGGCCGTTGCAATCTCACTCGCGCTCTTGTCAGCGAGCCAGGCGGTCATGGCAGCCACGTCATTGGAGCGCGCCACGTAGTGCAAAGGGTACTGGGATCGAAACGCATGTTCCTTCAGGAAAAGGAGCCGAAAATCGCCGTCTTTGGCCAAGTCAACGGCCGAGAATCCTTCCTAGTGCCGAGCTAACGCCGTTTGACACAGTGATGATTGCACACCAGATTGCGAGCATCCATGTCCATTCGAGAGACGCAAAGGCGGCGCAGAAACGCCAGTGTGCTCTGGACCGACGTTCGTTTGGGAAAAGCATGACGACATGCAGCGCGGTGCAGCCATCCTACATATGTGTTGACTATTCCACTTGCTGCCAAATCCTTTGTACATCGTTGGTGGCGTTGATGTCGGCACCGGCGCGAAGCAGCAGCGTCAGCGCTCGTTCGTTGCGCTCACGGCTGGCTTCATGGAGCGGCGTATCGCCAAACTAGTTTGCATGAGCATTCGTGAGAAATCTTGCGACACAAGAGGTTGCACGGTACGTCGCTGCGCGCTGTGGCCGGCACACCGTGGTCCAAGAGCCAGACAAGCGCGTTGTGGGCATGGTTGCTCGCCGCGTAGTGCAAAAGCGAGAGCCCGCCGCAGTATTTTTGCGCAAACGACTAGGAATGTGGACAGAATATGTGTCTTTTTTGTCGTCTCGGTGCGGGTGCCTACGGTGCTGCCAAACGTTGTGATCCACGCCAGGTTGCGCGCGGCAAAGAGCCCGAGGACGTCAGCGCGATCGCGTTTCGTCGCCAGCACCAGCGGCTGAAGAATGTACTAGGCAACATGGAATGATGATGTGACTAGCATCCCGGACCTACGTCGGGGATCAATGCAACGTCCGGCCTCGCCAAAAGACGCTGGATGACGTCCGTGTGCCCGAGGCAAACCGCGGTACACAGCGCGTCGTTGCTCTACTTGGTTTTTGATACAAAAAGGTATGGATGGAGGAGTACCTTGAACACTTTGGTCAACTCGTCTTGACCGAGCGTAGGCTGCGCGAGGCGGTAGAGGACGGCGCGCTCGTTTCCTTCGTGTAGCAATTGCGCGATCGACTTGCTCGCGTCGAGATGCACCATCTCATTGCTCGTCGGCCGGCACTCGACCATGATCACATTCGACGGCGCCACAGTCTGCTGGAGGCGCGACCGGGCCATGTGCAACCTTTGCGCGGCAAAGGACAACATGTCTGCGATACGTGCAACACGAACGGTGGTGGCCAACGCAAGGAATCACCGTGTCTGCGCGGTGCCCCGTCAAGTTGGACGTTTCGAGTCGGCAAACAGCAACTGTCGATGCGCACCCCACAGTATAGAGCTGCCTCAAGGTGGGTAGATTCTCCTCATCAGCATGAACAGCCAGCCAGCTCAAGACATTATTGAACAATATCGAAGCGGTGGCTCCGCGGCAACGGTCTACGTGGCGAGTACGCGCCTTGCCCCAGCGCTTGAACTAGTCGATACACTCAGACCGCGACACCGCGTCGTTGTCCGGGCTGGGAAATGCAGTAGTATAAGGTGCTCAACGTCGTTGCAGCAGGCTGTCGTGTCCTGGAAGTCGTACTGGCGCCACCGGAAGTATGCGTTGGTCGTGGCGAGGCACTTGAGGTAGGCCGCTTGGTGAGTGCGCGCGAACTTTACGTAGTCCGTTGCCGTGACGGATACCTCAACTTCGATATTATTGAGATGCCAACAACATTGCGCAGTCTCGTGGCCGCGAGATCGTTGCCAACCCATGAATGAACTAGATATGCAGTGCCGGCCCTCGGTAATAGGATCTGGGAGCCGGTACATGAAGAATGCAAAGGCAAATGACACGTCTGTTATGCTTTCTCAGCCTTGGCGTTGGGATTCGGAAGGTCCTTCCCGATCCACTGCGCCGTGTGCTCGGGGTTCATCTCGGCGCGGATGCTCTGAACGAGCGGCAGGTCTGCCTTGAGCTCCTCCTACGCATAATTAGTTCATAGGGCGAGCGCTACGTGCATGTGGCTGGTACCGTCATACACGCCGAGTACTCCTTGTAGAGCTCTTGGCAGCCGAGTTTGCCCTTGCTCTTGTTCTTGAGAAAGACGTCTTTGTACCACAGGTCAAAGCAGTGGTCATAGCTACGCATTCGAATTGCTATCAGATACCAGATCTAAATGGGGCGGTACGGACATGGCCTTCTTTTGCAGGCAGTCGACCGCATTGTCCTTGGCGCCGTCCATCGCTGTTTTGTGAACGTTCGAGATGCAAAGTCGTCTGTGATTGGTCAACAATTTTGAACCGGTTCGGATGTCCTAAAACCGGTTTTCGGTTCGGCTCACGCCAAGGGATGGATCGGTCAGTTGGCAGCTTGAGCGTGCATTTGTGACTCATGCTATCGAAATACCTCGCCCAGTGCGGTTTGTGATCTTGGGTGGCGTGAGGTGTGATTTCAGTACTGTGTCGCGAGACCGATACACCTCTGAAATAAAATTTGAGATCCAAAGATCGCAAAACCACAGCAAGAGCATGACCAGTTTGCGCTGAAGTGATTACGCGTGGCTGAGCTCGTCGCCACCCGCTTCAGCGAGCCAGAGTAAGGTACCCAAGGCGTCACATCAACCAGTCTTCCGCTTTCATACATCTTCTCGACTTCTTCTGGGCCTCAAGCGGATGCGACTACGAAGCGCAGGCTCTCAGAATTGTCGGTCACTGTGAATAAACTCTTTGGTCAGAAAGAGTTGGAATCCAGTTCGAGTGTAGGAGGCTCCAAACCACAATTGTATCAACTTGATACTTATAAAAGGGCGCCAACTTTGAACGATTGCCGTGTCAAGCCGACGCCTTTGGGTTTCGTGACCCCCGCCGATTTCGGACGCACGTTTTTGATGACACCGAGCACCGACGGCGTCGACGCGCTCCCTGTCAGACGTGAATCAACATCGTCAGCGTGTTTGCGAGCGACGTACGCAACAGTGGTGGCGGCGGTTGGTCCATCGTCACATTGACCGTCATGACATGAGCGACTAATACCACCAGTACCACGATGACCTTTGCTGCTATCCGAAACGAGTCTTACGTGGAGAGCCGCCGCCAGCAGGGTGGTCCCGGTAGAAATTTTCGAGGAATTCGTGGCGCGCTAAAAGTTTCCCAAGATCGTCGCACAAGTAGTCGGAGGCTGGGAGCAGCGTCGTTTGGTTCGACTCGGCGAGCTTTTGGTTGGTGGCAGCGGTCATTGCAGCGTCTTGCAGCTGCCGCTTGAGGTCTTGGAAGTTCTGGAGCAGCCGGCTGTGCTCTTTGGCGCGTGCGTGTTGGTCGTGGTATTGTTTGTGTTCGAGCGAGAGCAATTTCTTGATTTGCTTGCGCAGCGTCAAAATCTCGTGGGCTTGGTGTTCGTAGCGCGATTTGTAATAATCGGTGACATATCTATATCACGGATCGTGAAAGAATGACAAAAACGGAGTGTGTACACATTGTCATTCGCAATGCGACTGGCCTCGTCGTTGGAGACGCGCGTTGGCGCTGCCGATGCTTTCTGGGGGCTGTCTTTCTGCAGTGCAGCAAAGATCTTGTCGTACTCGGACTAGAAACACCGTCCTTTAGCCGCTGCCAGCTCCATACGGCTTACCTTTAGAGCAGCCAGGCGCGAGTCCTTCTCGTGCAAGCGACTCCGCGTTTTCAGCAACGCGGTCTCCAAAGACGCGATCTGGTCGTCCTTGCTCTGCTCGCGGCTCCGCAGACTAGACAGACGCAACAATCAGAGCAAGCTGCAACGAGTGAAACTCGACCGCTGGGCTTCGTTTTGGGCTTTTTGCACCTCATTCGAACGCAAACTTGTCTTGAGACTGTGGACCTTGCTTTTCAAATTCAGAATCGTTTCTCGGGCGGCCGCAACTTCGGCCTCGAGGCTGCCAATCTTTAAGCGGGCTTGGCGCAGTTCGCGCCCGCTCGCAGCATATGCGGCCGTTTTCGGGGGTGAGACACTGCTTGGCGCTTGCTGCGAGCTCACACTCATCGCCGTCGAGCTGCGTCGGCGCAACATGCCAAACTCGAGCTCGTGAACTGTGTGCTTGAGCAAACCCAGCTCGTACGCCATCGCTCGGTGCTCGTTCTCACGCTCATCCAGAGCCTTGGCTTGCGTACTCACCTACCCGAGCGTCATTAATACCTTTAGAACGTGACAGCTACGTACGCAGGCGTGCGCTTTTTGAAGCTCAATCTTGGTGCTCTCGAGCTCGGTGCGGAGGCTTTGGTTCACGACACGCTCGCGATCGAGCGCATCGAGGCCTTCTTGGACAAGAAGGGCGCGGCCGTGCTCGGTCTGCTCCATCTCGACGATAAGCACTTCTCTTTCTAAAAGCAGCGCGTTGTGGTCGCGCTGGAGCGCAATCAGTTCGTCTCGGATATGGCTCTCTTCCCTACATATCGCGGGTTAGGTTGAGTACAACATGTTGGCATACAGTTTTTGCGCCACCGTGGCCGTCTTGAGCGAGATTTTCAGCGTCTTTTCATAGTCCTAAGCACCATATATTGTCAAAAGCACATAATATTGCCGGTGGCGGCGGTGGGTGCCAAGGAAACAAGTGGAATGTACCTCTTTGAAGCCGCGCTGGACACGCATGTACGTGCGCAGCGAGTTGATGACGGCAAGCGTGTCACCGTCTGCCGTTGGCACGGGTCGTCGCGTGTCGGCGTCGGTGGTCGCGTTGACGATTTCGTCGTGAAAGTCAGCGATGGCCTTCTCGATGCGCGCCAGCTTGGCCAACCGATCTTGGGACGTCGAGAGGCGTTGAACGAGCCGCTGGACTTGCTACAAGTTCGCCTCAGTACGCGAGTATAGACAATAGTCGTCGTACATCGAGTGGGATGAATTGTCCTTTCTGTTCGTCGGTGGGCGATGACAACGGAGCGACGGCAGGGGCGCCTTCGGGTTCCGATAGCTCGGGGGGAGCTTTTCCCAGTGCTGGCCGGGTCGCTCGACGCCGATTCACAGGCCCTGTTTTGACGGCGGCGACCTCCGAGATGGACGCCAGTGTCTCTGGCTCGGGCTCCTTGATCTTGACCTTGGCGCGCTTGACCTCCATCGCGCTGTACAACTGCCGGCAGTTACACGTGGCCTTTTCTGTTGCAACCTGTATTGTTTACAGTGTAATTCGAGATACAGTGGCTACGAAACAGCGTTTGTAGAAAGGCGCCATTCCATCGTCGACGTTGCTGCGAGTTGGACGTGCAGAAAAAACACCTCGTTGAAGCGCGACTTTGAATTTGAGTGTTTAGCACCAACAACGACGCTCCGTGCTGAACGGTCACCAACGCCTTGACCCTCGCGAGCGCGTCAGCTCAGCGCGTCATGCTAGATGAGTACGATCTCGTGTTCTTGCGAAGAGGATGGGGCGGCACCGCAAAGATCTACTTGTTCGCGCAGGCGTAGCTACACTATGACGACAAAAGTGATGGTGCAAGGTATGAACTAGCTCGGCAGCACTAGCCATCACAACAACCGCCAAGTCAGTTCACGCAGCGTTGTCCTCGGGTCGCGTAGCTTTTTCTTCGCCGCCTCACGCAAGACGCCGTGTAAACGAAAGCCGCCAGCAGATGGGCGTCGAGTAGATTTGCGTGGAAATAGCCTGCACAACACGCACGACACTGGTTGCTTGTCGCTGTGCCAGCTGGTGTGCTCCACGCGTCACGCAACCGGGTGCTCGCCTCCTCTGCTCGTATCTGAACACCCCTCGGGTGACGGCGCGGTCACTGGGCCGCAACTGACCATGTGGGTGACGCGCAATATTTAAATCCTCCGCTCAATTCGTACTTGTTATTTGTATGGCTTCCGATGACATTCAATGGCCGCCTTGCTACGTTTTTGTATGCAGCGCCGAATTGCCAAGGGCAAACTCGGGGGCGCACCGTGGGATGCCACGTGAGTCACACTGCACTTCGCAGCCCGCGTAATGGGATCGTCGAGTGGCGTTGTCAGAGCCCTTTTTGTTGCTTGGCAGAGACACCGACGATGCTACCGATGGCCGAGATGGTGTCGCCGCAGTCGCCGCCGCGCAAGATCTCGAACGAAGACTCGTCGATCCACTACTCGGACGACCTCCAGAAGAGCGAACACTACTCGTACTACCCGGCGGCCGCATCCATCGACGAGGCGTCGACGGCGTGGCACTTTCCGTGGGCGCCGCCACCAATGCTCCCCAACGACGACGACCGCGTCATGGAGCTCGAGAGCTACGGGATCCTCGACACGCCCAACGAGCACGTCTTTGACGTTCTTGTGTCGATGGCCACCAAGGCGCTGCGGTGCCCGATCGGCGGCGTGAGCCTCATCGACAAGCACCGCCAGTGGTGCAAGGCCAGCATCGGCCTCGCGCAGACCGTCATCCCGCGCAACGTGGCGTTCTGTGCGCACACGATCGCGTCGACCAAGCCGCTCGTCGTCCTCGACACGTCGCTCGACAAGCGCTTTTATCAAAACCCGTTGGTCACGGGCCCGGCCAACATTCAGTTTTACGCTGGGGCCCCGATCGTCAATGGCAACGGCACGGTGCTCGGCACGGTGTTTGTCTACGGCCACCGGCCACAGACGTCGTGCGACACCCAAGTGCTCAAGAAGCTCGCGCGCATGGCAATGAACCACCTCGACGACCGGAAGCAGTCGATGCAGCGCGCACGGCCGGCGCGGTCGCGCTCGCAGGCGCAGCCGCGGACAACATCGGTGCCGCGCCCCACCACATCGGGCCACCATCCAGCGATGATGATGGACCGGTCGCCGGCCGACGAGTACGACGCCCGGCGCGAAGCCATGCGGCTGCTCGACATCCTCGACACGCCGCCCGAGGTCATCTTTGACCGGGTTTGCTCGCTCGCGACGCAGCTGCTGCACTGCAGCGTGGCCGGCGTCAGCCTCATTGACGATGACAAGCAGTGGTTCAAAGCGCACGTCGGCAACGTCGACCTTGGCCACGTCGCGACGTTTTGCGCGCACACGATCGCCGCCCGCAAGACAACGGTCGTTGTCGATACGCTCGAGGACACGCGCTTCCGCAAGAACCCGCTCGTCCGTAGCGGCAGTCGCATTCGGTTCTTCGCCGCTGTGCCCATTTACACGCCGGACGAGCACGTGATCGGGACCGTCTTTGTCATGGACACGGCGCCTCGAACGCACGCGACGGTCGACGTCAACAGCCTGCAGCGGCTCGCACGGGTCGCCATGCTGCACTTGGCGCCCCGCGTGCAGTACAAGATCATGCCGGTCCTCGACTATAGCTCGTTTGTGGACGAACACGCTCAGGTCTACTCGACGGACCGCGACGCGATGACGGGCAAGGCGAAAGGCGCCAACGGCTTTGAGAAGCTCCGGCTCAAGTTCCTCTCGACAGTCTTCAAGCGCCAGCCCAGCAACCAGAATGGCCACATGTACTAACGACGCGATATCGCGTATACGACCAAGAAGAAGAAGAACGACGACGACGACAAAATATACCAGTAGAGAATGATACACGTCGGTCGTAGCATCTGTAATAGAGACGGTGTGGACGCGGCAGCATCCTTGGATCGAACAAGGGTGCGTAGCGTCCTTTGTGTGTGAGTGTTTTCACAATGGCGTTCGTGTTGCCGTGCTAGGGTCAGGGTCCCAGTGGACTATATTGTACTACCTAGCAGTTACTTCTTTAAGAAGAACGCCAGTGCGTGGACAAGCTCTCAATTTCCGACGACGTTCGATGCACACGACTTCTATAGCTCGTAAACCTTGGTCGGTGGCGTGTTTAATGTGTACATATTTATCTATCTAGCTATCTATCTAGCTATCTATCTACTAGCTATCTATCTAGCTCGCTACCTATCTGTCTATCAACGGCAATGCGCAAGACTGGCAAGAGTGCCGGGTTGCGTGCGACGACGCTGTGTAGGGTGTCGCAGGATTCGCCGCAGACGATCACCAAAGCTACTCGAGAAGCCAGTGGTCTGGATACGACAGAAGGCCAACTCGGGTTCGACAATGAAATCATGTTGGGAGTCTTAGGTGCTAAAGGACGGGAAGAGGATGTTGGGGAACTTTTTGGAAATGAGGTAAAACTCGTTGAGATCGATCTTGCAGTCGCCGTCGCCGTCGCACTGCCGCAGGATCGTCTTGGCCTTCTTCTGCACTTGGGCCTCGGTCGTCATGTGCGTCGCCTTGAGAATGTTCACGAGCTCGTTCTCCGTGATGTAGCCATTGTGGTCATCGTCGTAAATCTCGAAGCAGAACTGCGCCTTCATACTCTTCTCAATGTCGAGCAAGTTGCTCATGCCTAATGCATAGGTTTCTACATGAAAGATACATGGCAATCGACATTTACCCAACAGAATGTCGCGAATGTCGGCGAGCTGCGTGCCAGCGTACAACGCGTGCAGCTTGCGGTACTCGCCCGTCGGCTCGACTTCAAACAGCGTGTAAAAGTCTTCAAAGCTCAATCCTTGCTTCTCCGACTTGAGGAAGCGGCCAAAGACGCGGCGGAGCATGTCCAAGTTGACATTGTTGTCGGCAATGAATTTGTCCAAAAGTGCCTACAAATATAGTGTCCAATTCCCACAATTTTCACCGATCAAAAAGCATCGAAATGCTCGAAAATGTACCTTTTTGTGCATTTTGGTTTCCATGTCGCGGCGTCGGTCTTCTTCCGAGACGATCTCGGTCTTGGCCGCGACCTACGTATCTTCAAATATAAATTGGCGTCCTCGCAACTGACAATGTGTACAACCTCGACCGGCGCGGCCTCGGCCACCTTGTCGAACGACGGGTCGCCCGGATCCGGGTGAATGACGAGCTTTCGAAACTCTTCAAACGACACTTGTCCGTCGCCGTCGCGGTCGACCATCTTGACCATCATGTCGACTTCGGCGTCCGTGATGAGCTCGCCCATGCAAATCAAAATGTGTCGAATCTCAGCCGCGCCAATGAACGCGTTTTTGTCCAAATCGATAAATTTGAACGCGCTGAGGATCTCGGCTTCGGAAAATTCCGACGTGCTACACATTCGATTCTATATAAACAAGACGAATCGAATAATATATGTACATACTTGTCGTCGCCAACGTAATTTTTGGCGTCTTGAATCGCTTTCGAGTACGTGACGGGGGCCACATCAAGCGGCGTGATATTCGCGGCCGCCCGCAAGTGCGCCGTCTCTTTGGTCAAGCGCTCTTTCCCGTCAAATGTATCCATACCAATCTAGACATATTGTTGCCACATAATGAAAATATGTCGTATCGAACGGACTTGGTGCTGGGGGTACCCAATGCTGTCGGCAGGCGCGACGAACGAGAGCTCAAAATGGAGCTCGCCCGCCTTCTCGTTGGCACCATACTTGCCTTTGAAGCGGAGCGGGTACCACTCATCGAGATAGCCGTAGCGAAAGATGGGCAGCAGCGAAAAGCTCATTTCTCCTACGATCCAAGGTCATAAAAATTGTCATCTCTGCAATCGATGTACCGATGAGGTCGTCTTCGCCCAGGCCATCGTGGTCCCAGCACTCGACCGCTAATGTAAACTGGTCGACGACGTCAAACTCAAAGCGCTGGTTCCACTCGGGCTCGACACCGCCGTCCATGTCGATCTCGGTGCGGACGACGGTCTTGATCCCGACGCCTTCCAGTGTCATCTTGACGTACGGGTCTTGCTGTCCGACCGAGTCGACGTCCCTACACCCGATGCATCGTGTTTTTCATATACATCGCAAGTACCGGAGACGACGACCCGCAATGCAGTTGAGCGAGAGCCGGCCCGCGGGGTAGAATTGAATTTTCATGAGGATTTCACCGGCCGACTTGCCGCTATTGAGGAGCGGCAGCACCACGTCGTGAACGCCAAGGGTTCGCATTGGCTCGAGGACACTGAGCGCGCTTTCGCCGATAAAGTCGTCGCTCCCCACGTCTTCGTCGTAACAGCGCACAATCACATCATGGACCCACGAGTCGGCCGTGATCCAAAAGCAAATTTCTTCTTCGCCAAAGTACGGGTTTGTACCGCCTTTATCAATCGTCTTCGAGCGCTTCATGCGGCTGTCGTGCTCGAGCTTGATGTACGGATCTTGCTTCCCGATGAGCTCCATGTTTTTGAGCTTCCGGCCTTCCATGAGGATAAAGCTGAGCAAGCCCGGGGTCGCAATGCGCAGGCTACATCGATATTCGGTGGTGAATATAGGAAAAATCGAATATCTTGTACGATACCAAAAGGCAATGTCGAGCTCACCCGCGGGCATCCCGGTCTTCATGTGCAAGAGCGGAATCGTCTCCTTGTGCTCGTGGCCGTCAAAGAATCGGAGCAGCGACACGTTGGCATACCCGAGGAGCTCGTCCGAAATCATATTTTCGTCCCATAGCTCCACCTACTCGACATGAGTGACTTCAAATCCCACAAGACCAACGAGCATATACCGTCAAAAGCACATCGTTCGTGTGCACCAGGAGCGACGGCGACTCCAAGTTGACTTGGAGCAGCTCCTCAAGGAACCCGACGTCCCGACCAGCCTTTTTCCAAACTTTCGACTTGAGCTCCTTCATGCCCTTGGCGTGCGCGCCCACTTTCAGTTTGCAGTAGACATCGGCCTTGAACTTGGCGTCCGAGTTCTTGGCGCGCGAGAGGCCCCGCGCTTCGAGGAGCGTAAATCGCATGCGCCCTTTCCGAAGCTGACGCTCCACGTGCGCTTGAGCCTCCACCGAGCTCGCACTCAGCTCGGCCCCTGGCGCCGCCCCTGCACCGACGGGTCCGAGCGGTAGCCCCGGAGGTGCCGTCAGCGGTGGACCGGGTGGCGCTCCTGGTGGTGGTCCTGGCGGCGCTCCCGGTGGGGGGCCCGGTGGCACTCCAGCAGGTGGTCCGGGTGGTGCATTTGGCGGTGGTCCTGGTGGTGCACCTGGCGGTGGACCCGGCGGTGCTCCGAGTGGTGCGCCCGGCGGAGGCTTGACTGGCGGCGCGCCCGGTGGTGGCTTGACCGGCGGCGCACCCGGCGGTGGTTTGATCGGCGGTGCGCCCGGCGGTGGCTTGATCGGACTTGTCGACGCTGGAGGGGCACCTGGAGGAGGACCAATCACAGACGATGGAGGGGCTCCCGGGGGTGGACCGATCGATGACGATGCAGGTGCTACAACATTTGTCGGTGGCGGTGCACCAGGCGGTGGAGCACGAGCTACGATGGGTTTTGGAGGACCACTCGCGACGGCTGATGGCGCGGACTCGCTCGCTGGCATCGACTCAACCTGTGCCGGCATTGGCTGCGGAGGTTCGACCTTGGGTGGCGATGGCGCCTTTGGCTGTGGCGCGCTCACTTCGGAGTTTGGTGCCTTTGGCACAGGAGGCGCACCGCTAGGCTTGGGCGGTGAGAGCTCTGATGGCGGTGGGGCACTCGGCTTTGGAGGTGGCGGCGCACCGGGCTTTGGCGGCGACGACGCGCCATCGAACGCCGCACTAGGTCGCGGTGGCGGTACACCAGAGCGTGGCGGCGGTGCGTCCGGGCGGGGAGGCGGGCCACCTGCTGGTCGCGGCGGTGAGCCGCCAGGACGTGGTGGCGGTGCATCTGGGCGTGGTGGAGGCATACCAGGTCGTGGTGGCGGTATACCAGGCCGTGGCGGTGGTGCATCTGGTCGTGGTGGTGCACCCATGGGTCTTGGCGGTGGTGTACCGCTCGGTCGTGGCGGTGGTGCGCCTGCGGGCCGTGGCGGCGGCGCACCGCTCGGTCGAGGTGGCGGCGGACTGCTCATGCCCGTCCAAGATACGCAATCCGCATGCGTATCCGGAAAACGTTCCACAGTGCTGGTAGCGCGCCGCGCCAAGGCGTCGCCCAGCCCCCACCACGTACCTTGACTGCCTCGTTGTCGATCGTCCTCGCTTGCGCCGTGGCCGCGGACGCCGGCGCGGTGGCGGCGCGGGCGTCGTGACCACGTGGCAAGCTTGCCCGCATACTGTAGCCAAGACGAAAATAAAATTACAATGGCCCGTCAAAAACCAGCTGGGACCAATTGATTCGAGAGCCATGGCCGATGCCCGCTGCCGCAGTACGGGCGGCCTCAAGTTCGACGCGTCCGAGCCGCCGCGCCTGCAGCGCCAGGGCGCGCTAGAGCACTGCGGCAAGTACTGGAAGCACTCGTGCTGCAACGCGACGCACAACCTGCCGTTGAAGCGGCTCGTGCTCGAACCGCTCGTCGCCAACGTCAACCGCCGCTGCCAGTCGCTCTCGGAAGAGCTCACGTGCTCGGCGTGCCACCCGCTTGTCGGCGCCGGCGCCATCGACCGCATCTGCATCGACCTCTGCGACGACTGGTTTGACGCGTGCAAGGACGAGTTTTACATGGCCGAGCACCACCGCCTCGCGCCGTGCTACGGCAACGCGCTCGTCTGCTCGCCGCTCAAGGACATTGTGACCACGTACGTACGACGGCGCGATGAAGTATGCATCCTATCGGTGCCTGTAGGGGCGCGGCCTTTTGCCGCCACATGGGCTACACGCCGGGCAAGGCCACCGACGCCGAGGGCAAGGACTGCTTTGACGGGTCGGTCCCCGACACGTACGGCGAACCCGAGCCGGCCGAGAAGGTCTCGGACGCGCTCTTCCGCATCTTCCAGGAGCAGTCGTCCGAGCCGACCGAGTTTGTGCTGGTCGTGATCCTCGGCACGATCCTCTCGCTCTTCCTCTCGATCAAATTCTTCAAGCGCTGGCACCATGCGCACCAGGAAATGAACCGCGAGGCCGCGCGCCGGCGCCAGCAAGAGGCATACCGAGCGAGCTACCACCTCGGAAAGGCCGCCGACACGGGCGCGACCGACGACGTCTCCAACTCGGAGTCCGATTCCGACTCGGACTCGGACGACGCGCCCCATCGTGGCCTGCCCAGCGACGTCGGGGACACCCACGATGCTTCAACGCACGTCGAGTAGGTTGGTCATTGTGTGCGTGTCTTAGATATGATCAACCAACTACGTCCTGCGTCGTTGTCTCGTCGCGTGCTGAGTCTTGCAGGTAGCACACGTAGTCGCCGCCACCAGCCACTAGCACCGACAGCGCACATGAGATCCTGTCCTCTAGTCCGCGGAATGTACATAGCAGTGGCGACGAGGGCAGCGCTGGCGGCAGCATGCCACGTGGCATCGCATGCACCACACCGTGTGCGACGACGAACGTGGTCGTCGTCGTGCAAGCAACGTCACCAATCGGGGCTTGGACGCACGACTCTTGTGTGGGACGACAGTCCAGCCCGTCGCCCCAGACGTACGCGGCTCCTTTGGCGACGGCCGCCGCCTGCCACGGCCCGGCCGCGATCTTGGTCACCTTGGGCAACCCGACGACGCGCGTCGGGGTATTCTACGCTACTGGTGACACCAATGCGACAAGAGTACTATGTACGATGGTGGTATAGGTGCCAGTGCCAAGCGCCCCAGACGCGCCAAGCCCCCACGTATACACGTCGCCGGCGGTCGTGAGCAGCATGTAGTGCGCATCGCCGGCTTTGACGGACGCAATGACCGCTTTGTCGAGCGCGGCGCAGGTCACGGGCGACGGACGCAAATGCAGTTGCGTCGTCTCTTGGCCGTTCTCGCCGACGAGGTGCTGGACGCCGCAAAAGAAGAGCTGGCCGGAGTGGGACACGAGCAGCGTCGACTCGCGCCCGGCGCCGACCACGTAGTAACCATCCTCTGTCGTGTCCTTGGCCGGAAGGACGCGCGTCGGCGTGAGCACGTCGCCAGCGTCTATGCCGAGCCCGAGGCGCCCGCCCTCGCCCCACCCAAACGCAAACGCGCGTCCGTCCGTGCAGACAACCACCGAGTGGTCGCGCCCGCACGCGACACCGAGCGCCGTCGGCAGCGTCGAGATGCGCGTTGGCGTCGTCTGCGACATCGTATCGCCGAGCCCGAGCCGTCCGCTCTCGCCGCGCCCGTAGGCAAACACGTCCCCGCACCGCGTCCGCAGCAAGAGGTGGTGCGCACCGCAGCTCACGTCGACGACCTGCACCGGCACGGGCACATAGGTGGTTGTAGGCGCCTTGTCGTTGCCAAAGCACCCGTGGATCGTGAGGACCCGCGTGGGCGGCGCCAGAAGCAGTGTGCGGGCGACGTGCCGGGTCCGCGCCAGCACGGCCTCGAGCTCGCGCAGCGACAAGGTGCCGACGTCCACCGCGTTGATATGCGTGAGGACGCTGTCGCCATGCGACGACGAGAGCACGCGCCGATGGCCATCGACATCGATGGCCATGTCGGGCGGACAGGCGACGCCGAGGACGGTGGATGTCGGCGGCGGCAATGGCAGTGGCGGCGCTGCTACGATGGCATCGATCGTCGATTGCACGCGGGGGCTGGTCGTCGCATGCCGGCGTGGGCTCGTCGTCGCATGCCGGCGTGGGCTCGTGCTCGGACGAGGCATCCGAAACTCTGCAACGTTGCTACTGGCGAGCGTCCATCTATTCTTAGTCCATCCACTGCAAACTCTGTTTGATCTCATGCACTGTTTGTATGATGCTCGACCGAGTCGGGGGCACCGTTCCTCGGCTTGGCTCGGTTCCGAGCACGAGCCAACGCCCAAACGGCGCGCGTTGAGCCAGCGCCCAAATGGCCCGCGTCGAGCCAGCGCGGCGACAGCAGCTCTCGGCCATTAGGTGTCGTGACGGGTCCAGCAGGGTCGCAAATCGTGCACCATCAAGGTACTATGTATTACGTGGTAGCAAGGGCTTAGACGATGCGGTCCAGCTCGGTCGCGTACGACAGCGTCTCGCCGACCAAGCGCATGGACGGAATGTCGGACGCGCTGGAGGCATGCAATAAGTACGATGAGAAACCAGCAATAAGACAACGTACCCGAGGTGCTTTTGCGGTGCGTGGAACCACACATTGTTGTCCTTGAGGATCCACTGCGGCTTCTTCGTCGACGCATACGCCGCAAACTCGTGCGGCGACGCAAACATCATCATCTTGGCCGCGTCGGCCACGTCGAGCGACGCGTACGCGACTTCGGCGCAATCGGCAATCGCGTCGCTGCAATGCACAGAGGAGGCGCATGAGAATATGGCAGCCGAGTCGAGGTGCGTACCGGACGGTTTGGAGCAGCTGCGCCATGAAAAACTTGAAATACGGGTTGGGCTCGTTCGTGCGCGCCTCTAGGACCTAGGCTACGATGAGCGTATGCGATCGACGCTGCGCAGTGGGACCACCTTGTTGTAGCTGCCTTCCATAAGGTACTGTTCGAGTTGCATCGCAAACGCAATGTTCGCGTCATTGCGGCCGTGCACCGGCAGAATCTCGAGCTATGCAAGGTGTAAGGATTGCGCGAATCGAGACGCATGCACCTCGCCATGGAACTCGGCCATGCGGTTTTCCACAAGCAAGTGCAAGAGCCGCGTGCCCATGAGCGGGTACTGGAGGTTCGACGCCGGCAGTTGCGCGCTATCAGAGATGAGCTTACCGTTGCATGCACGCTCCATAGACGTACCCATACGAGTTGTAGTACACCTTGAGCTGCGTCATGTTGCGCTCAAAGCCGGCCATGTCTTCCTGATGGATGCTCATGATGGCCGCGCTCTCCAAGACGTCGCCTACGCACAAGCTAAGTACGTCTATGGTGCAGCCTTCGTGCAACGTACGCGCCAGCTTGCGCTCGCGGACTGCGTCGGGGGATTCTGTCGTCGAAGGTGGCAAGCTCGGCAGCTGGATCATTGCGATCTACGCATGGCACGGGGCATGAGGCGTGTCCATGGAGCCGCATG